CCATGGCTTCATCGCCATCTTCGTCGCCATCTTCTACCTCGGCATTTTCCGGCACAAGCTCCCAGACGTCTGGCGCAGGCCAGTCGTCCTCATCGACCGTGTCCTCTACCTCGTCGGTTTCATCTTCTGTCACACCCCTTCCTGTATCGGATGTCTCAACAAAGTCACACGCGGGCGCTATTGCGGGTGGTGTCATCGGTGGCGTCGCCATCATCGCTGCGGCTGCGGCAGCGATCTTCTTCCTAGGCCTTTGCGGACGGAAGCCCACCCGTTCCCGGCAGCGCGCAGCCAGTGTCGTGGGTGGGAAGAAAGCCTTCGGGAAATGGGATGGGCTTTCATCGCGAGATTCCGGGATGGACACCAATGTGCTAGTCGGTGGCAGCGCCGGCCGATACTCGCGAGGAAAGCACGGTCAGACGGAGTCCAGTGGTTCCATGCTCCCGATGGCGGCCAGGGACAGCGTCATCGGCCACAACATCCCGCCGATGCAAGTGGGCGCTGGTGTCGCCGGCGTCGCGCCTGCGATGTTCCTGTCGCGGGAGGACCTCTCTACCCTCACAGAGGAGGACAAGGTCAGCATGAGCTCCAGCGGGCACGGGCACGGCGCGGTCGTCGAGCACGCGCCGCCCACGTCGTACTACACCTATCGCCGGGCGTCCGGGTCCATGCCGAGCGTCCCGCAGTCCGTCGTCGGCTTCAACGGCTCGTCTGGCTCGCTCGGCCGCGCGCACACGACGTCCACCCAGGACCGTACGATAACCCTCGCACCCCTCGACCCCGGCGCGTCCGCACACACGAGTCTTCAGAGCTCGGTGCGCGGGCATACGTCGCACCAGTCGCAGAGCTCGGGCTCCTTCGCGGGCGACTCCCCCACGCTGCTGTCCCCGTCCAGCCGCCCGCGCGCCTCGCCGATGTCTGCGGATATGATCCCTCTGAACCGCTCCCTGTCCAGCGGCCAGCGCCGCGCCGCGCGCAAGCCCGTCCCGACGTATGTCCCTACGGACGCGGAGCCCGGGAGCTTCAGCACGCTGAGCAGCGTGGACTCGCCGTTGTACCAGGAGGGGCTCAACCTCAACGATAGCCCGTCGGGTTCGAGCTCGAACCTGCACGGGCCGCAGATGCACTCGCGGGAGGATCTCAGGTTGCCGGATCTCAATCACAAGTCGAGCTTTGGTGATGCGAGGCCGGTGCATTATTTGATGCCTGATATGCCTTCGGGCAGTGGGTCTTAAGTGAGGTATCGGGCTTCGCCCCCAAAATTCCGGTACGTTGGCTGGTCCTCCATGTGCACACTCTTTATAACGTTTACTGATAACTTGTCTGCAGTCTGGAACGATAGATTTTATTCATCTGATTCATTCAAATCGCTCACTGGACTGTTGAAGTTACGTGCTTACCTTACGTCCCGTCATGTACTGTTGGTGTAGCAGTGATCACTCGGCCGTTTCCTTCTGACCTGGGGTCCTCACTGAATTCACGATTACGTATGCTTATCTCGCGTCGATATTGACTGCTATTGATGTGTTCTGTACTGACCCGAGGTGGTTGTGCTTTTTGATGTAGTAATGTAGCTTGATTATGACGTCGCAAACATCTGGTGGCGTATGTACTCAGCCGTGTGAATCCCATATAGCGGCACCTATATATTGCGCAGTGTAGAGCAAACTGAAATTATGAAACGTTGACCGGAGCGAATATCAATCATAGAAACCGATAAGCCGCTATCGTAGGCGGGGGATTGCGGGAAGTTGGACGCCTCGCCGGATTCGGAAAGACTCTTACATTGGGTAGATTTTCTACAGTCTCTTCTACCACCAGTAGAACTCGGACAGACACAGCCATTCTCACTGACACCATTACTGCTGGTACTGACATCACGACGAGACTTCTGTGCCTTATAGACAAGCTACTGAGTGGATATAAAGAGCCATTGTCGAAGCATTTCTGCTCTGATTCCATTAACTGGCCCCTCCTCCTTTCCTCCTCTACCGCTCCTTTCTCTCTCATCAATCTCGCAACCACGCGGGACACATACTCCTCAAACAGATAACACATTAGAACCCTTCGGCAGTCTGTTCCCGGGCGGGGTGCTCTTGGCGGTCATCTCGGAGGTCGCCCTAGGTCGCCACGTCTCATCTGGCAACCGGGTAAGTAGTCGCTAGGAACGCATGAGATTAGCATTGTGGGGCTACAACGTTCCCTGTGATACAACGGTCTCGTGGTGTAGTGGTTATCATACCTGTCTTACACACAGGCGGTCGCCGGTTCGATCCCGGCCGGGACCATTTTTGCTATTGATTGTCGGGGCGGGTGGCGCCGCCGGTACCGGCCTCTACCTGGCAGCTTCCATTTTGTTTGTTGCCGCCCCATAAGCGGGGCGCACTCGTCGTTGCTCTTGTCCGCACTATCAACGACCTTCTCGACATTCTACCATCGGACTTCATCTCTCTTAGGTACGTTGTTGCTTAGGGTCGTACTCCACATTGCTTCGGTTGTTCATTCTGGCACTGCCCTTTGAAGCGCAGTGCGACTTCATAGACGATATACCACTTCTTTCTCGATACCCCTGGCTGGCCTTTCGCACCCTCATTGCATAGATGGCTTCTTCAGAACATGATGCGACCCCTGAACCGCTCGACGACGAGCCAGCGCAAGCCGTCTCTGTCCCGGACACAGGAGATGCTGGCGAGAGTAGCAAGCTCAAGATGATTATCCAGCTTGTCAAGAAGTGTCTTGGAGTGAAGGATATTGCTACGATGTATGTTCCGGCATCGCTCGCTATTACATCAGTCCACTGATTCTGCGCTCCCCTGCAGGCGTCTGTCTCTCCCTGCGTCCCTGCTAGAACCCATACCCAATCTGGAGTACTGGCATTACCTCGACAGGCCGGATCTTTTTGCTGCGTAAGTCGATCTACCCTGTGTGCAAGCTCAATCTACATAGTGACATGTAGGATCAATGACTCCGAGGATCCATTTGAACGCATGCTCGCTGTCCTCAGGTTCACTTTCTCGAAGGACTTGAAGTTCATTGTGAGTATCACGCATCTTCACTACATTACCTCACTCATCGGATGTTAGCGCGGTAAAGTATGCAAGCCGTACAACTCAGTGCTAGGGGAGCACTTCCGCTCGCATTGGGATGTTATACCGGTTACATACCCCTCGGATCCATCCCAGCCGCCAATCCCGCACCTTTATGTTGCCCCTGCGACAGCGGAATCATCCACCTCCATGCCCATCTCCATGTCGCGCTCTGAGTCAGCGAGCATCAGAAGTGGCATGAGCAGCAAGAGTGCACTGAGCATGCTGAGCGTCACTTCTCGCGCCCACTCCACCCCTGGCCAGAGCACCCCTGCTACCTCACCGGAGCTCGTCGAGAGCAACCCTGAGGCAGAGATGTCGAATCTTAGCCTAGCAGAGGTGGAGTCGGCGGAAGTACTCGAGCTGGACGACACAGTGGAAGCGGCGCGTCCACGTGTCCGTATCGCATTCCTTACCGAACAGGTCTCGCATCATCCGCCTGTCTCCGCTTTCGTCGTCCGGTGCCCCAGCCGGTCGCTGGAGCTGGCAGGCGTTGACCAGATCTCGGCGAAAGTGAGCGGAACAGCGGTGCGGGTGATGCCAGGTTCGTACAACAAGGGCCTGTTCGTGCGTATCACGGGCGGGCCCGGTGAAGGCGAGGCTTACCACATTACACACCCCGCGGCGTCGGTCAACGGCATCCTTCGAGGCAGCTTCTACGTGAGCATGGGCGAGGCGACTATCATCACCTGCAGTGGTCCCGGCGACGGCGAACAGCTGCGCGCAATCATCGAATACAAGGAGGAGAGTTGGCTTGGCAGGGCTCAATTCCTCGTCGAAGGTGTCATCCACACGTACGATCCGAGCGGTACATTACACAACGAGTGGACGCGCGTGAAGCACGTCCCCCGCCATCGCGTCCGCGCGGTATTCGACGGTTCGTGGCGCGGTAGCATTCGCTGGCGCCGCGCAGACAGGCCCGATGCGGACTACGCGACGCTCCTCGACCTGTCGACGCTGCACGTCATTCCGAAGTCAGTGCGCCCGCTCGAGCGGCAGCTGCCCGACGAGAGCAGGCGCCTGTGGGATAGCGTCACGAGCAGGTTGCTGAAGAAGGAGTACAGCGAGGCAACGAAGCACAAGCAGGCGATTGAGCAGAAGCAGCGGGACGACGCAGCGGAGAGGAAGCGGAAGGGCACTGCGTAAGTTTTCGCTCTTCGGGCTTTATGGCGGCGATGACGCTAACGCGTGTTTCCGTGCCATAGATTTGTTCCGAAGTATTTTGAGAGCGATATTAGCTCGGGCATCCCCACGCTCACGGCCGCGGGCCAACAGGCGCTGGAGGAGGAACTGAAGGAAGAGACAGAGTATCCATTGGAAGGCGCTTCAGAGTAACACCATGCCCCCTGCTTATCGGAGCGTTGTGTATTGATTACGATTCGGACTCGGACGTTGGCCATGGCTCATCGAGATTGACACTTATTCCAAGAGAAGTACATACGAAGTGCAGGATGCTTAATGAATCCAAACGTGGTTGAAACACACACTTATCCCAGTCTTGGTTGGAGCAGAGCAAAATTGCAGTGATTCCCGCAGAGCGTCAGAGATGATCAACGCAATGCATATTATCGGCAAAATTTGCAAGAACTGTTTCACTTGCTCGTGTTTGGCTTTCTCTCCTGTCCGGGGGTGGTGTCGACCATTCCGGCACATCCGTCTCCTATTTGCCTTAGTTTGCCTCCTGTCTGCCTGCGTCCCCTCTTGCGACCGCGGCGCTATACTTCATCAAAGCCGTTCGGACGACGCCGGAGAAAAACAACTTGTAATAGGACTGCAAAGGTATCGCACTGGGGGGTGTTCCTTTCTGACGGACACAATACTTCTTCCCCGTTACCGTGTATCTTAATCCTTAACAATTTCCTCTGCGTCACCATTTTTGCATCTGTAGGAAAAAACAGATATTTACGCAGATCAACATGGTTCAGTCCGGGTTCGAACCGGAGACCTCCTGTGCACACGTTCGGAGACTACGAACCGTCGAATGTGAGACAGACGTGATAACCAACTACACCACTGAACCAATGTCATTTTACAGGGTCGGGCGGTATAGCATCAGAATACACGGTATCCGGAAGTATCTCTGGTGTGAATGTCTCTTGTCGTGCTCCCTCCATGTTGTGATACTCCAAGCCCACATAACCATGCATACAATGGAGGCAGTCAGGATTGCGTGAGCATACAAGGACAGTCTAATGAGTAAAGCTGATACGGGGCCTCTAGAATGGTGTGTGATTTCTTCCACCCCAATGTGGGTGGTGTGGAGAATCACATCTATATGCTCAGTGCGAACCTTCTCCGTCGGGGGCATAAGGTGAGTACATAACCGAACTGTCTATCTAGGTCTGGAGTGGGTTTTTTCTGCTCTGATCCTTAATATGCGAATTTTCTGATTCTACAAGGTCGCAATCTCTGTAGTATCACATGCCAGCTGTGGACAACTGCCATGCTTTAGATAGCGATAGCATTAGTTTCCAGTTGGTATGGATAACAGAGATGTGATACACATATATGTGTCGATTCTGTGAGAAATAACCTCGGGATGTGCTCTTCTATGACGCATGCAAGATTGTCGCTCAAAAACATACCCTGAGTCGCTTAGCTCGTGGGGATGCAGACTGTTTTGCGCCCTTGGTCAGAAAAGGCTGAGGCAGATTGTGGAGGCTTTTGGGGATCGATCCGATTCGACGATAATCATGTATTTCTACTAGGTCGTCGTCATAACCCACAGCCACCCGCCCGACCGCGTCGGCGTGCGCTGGCTCCTCCCCTCACTCAAGGTCTATTATATCCCGTTCCCGGCCATCGCCTCCTCCGCAACTCTGCCGAATTTCTTCACATTCCTGCCGTACCTTAGGAGCATCGTCCTTCGGGAGAACATCCAACTGATACATGCACACGCGAGCCTCTCGTCGCTTGGCCACGAGGGCATCCTGCACGCGCACCTTATGGGCGTGCGCACGGTGTTCACGGACCATAGCTTGTTTGGATTTGACGACGCTGCGAGTATCCTGACAAACAAGCTGCTGGAGGCGACGCTGAGGAATGTGGATGCTGCGATCTGTGTCTCTCATACTGGGTAGGTTGTGGTATCATGTTTGGTTTCTTTCACGACTCATTGGGTGATACAGACGTGAGAACACAGTTCTGCGGGCGCGGTTGCGTCCCAGCAGGGTATACGTAATTCCCAATGCGATCATTGCAGAGCAGTTCAAACCTTCCCCGAACACTACGGCAACTCAGACATCGAACAACAGTATGTCTATGCCGTACCGCCAGCAGACTCGTTCATCTGCTCATTAGTCTCATGTCCGGCAGTCACCATAGTAGTCCTGTCGCGCCTGGCGTACAGGAAAGGCATCGACCTCCTCGTGGCCACCGCCCCGCGCATCTGCGCCAAATTCCCCAATGTGCGCTTCATTGTCGGTGTGTCTCGCCTCCACCCCTGCACCCAAGCCGCACACTGACACGCCAGCACGCACCAGGCGGAGACGGCCCAAAGCTCATTGACATCCTGCAAATGCGCGAGAAACACCTCCTGCAGGACCGTATCGAGATGCTCGGGCCCGTCCGGCACAGCGACGCTCCCAAGGTGCGCACCACCCCTGGGATTTTGTTCCATCGTCCCCAGACGGATGAGGAAGAAATTAACTGGATAATATAGGTCCTTACACGTGGCTCAATCTTCCTGAACACCTCGCTGACCGAGTCGTTCGGCATCGCGATCCTTGAGGCAGCAAACGCGGGGCTGTACGTCGTCTCGACGCGCGTCGGCGGCGTGCCCGAGGTCCTGCCGCCTGACATGGTCTCTTTCGCGAACCCGGACGAGGACGGTAGGTCGCCCCAGTGCAGAGCGAGCACAGGACCGAGCTGACGGGCGCAGATGTCATCAGGGCGATGGCGGAGGCGATAGAGATTGTCTCCGCGGGGCGGCACAACCCGCACCGGGCGCACGCACGTGTGCGGGGGTTCTACGGCTGGGCCGAAGTGGCAAAGCGTACAGAGAAGGTGTACCAGACCGTCCTTGAGACAGAGCCATATGATTTTTGGACGCGGTTGCAGAGGTGCGTGTTGGAGGCTCATGCAGCACGACGCTTACGACGTGCACTCATACTTGACAGGACGCTCGATCTCGGCACGTTCGCCGGGCCAATCTTCGTCATTATACTTGTTGTCGATTGCCTGTTCTTCGCGTTTCTCGAGTGGTGGATCCCGGAGCGGGAGATAGACAAGGTGCAGATGTACTGGAATCATCAGAGGTTTGTTGAGGTGCGTTGGAATGCACCTGCGTGCTGGCCTTCCCATGTCTGAACTGCAACAGCTAGCCCACGAATATGAGGAACAACAAGATGCGAGCTTGTGCAAAGATGCATGTGATAGTAACTGACTCGGCGTAGCAGACATTGGGGTACGTTCGCTTGCGATTATTCAGTTAGCCTCTGCTGATCTGCAGCCAACAAGTATCAGTATCTTCCTTAACTTATAATTTGACACTTAGTTTAGAATTCACAGACACGCGGCGGGAATATACCATTACATAGTATCGACTGGAGCCAACGCTAGTTGGCACCCAGGGGAAATCTGAGCAAGCAGTCGCCTCCCTGAGTGGTATGACTCTTTCCCAGCTACGTCACCAGCGGGAAATGGGCGGTATTCGTCTCACTATATGAGAATAGGCCGATTCCCTGGATAACTATATCAGAGCGTCATATCAAAAACGGGACGAGTTACAAAGCGCACCGTGTCGGAGGTACACACGGAGTACGTCCCTTGCATACAATTCCGCCATTTGTTCTCTAAGACTCTAAACTCGGCGTCTCGCCATTCTTTCTCATTGACAGCCGTCATCGTACAGCGTGATTATCGACAGCTTCGCGAACTGTGGGCGAGATAGCATCTCGGCGATGCGCCGACATTGCATGCGCTCAACGATATCGCCCCGAGCCGCGCTGTTCAAAATGCTGTACGTGAGGGAGATGGCCCCGATGTTGCTCGACGATACGCTCGTCGGCACGTTGTGGATCCAACCGCCGCGGTCATCCGCCGTATCGCGGATGCAGCAGATGAGACGCAAAGTCTTGAGAGAGTTGAAGCGACTCAAGTTAACTGTTGGAGCTGGTGGCAGAGAGTGTCATTGGAGCCTCACAGGACGAGTACGATGAAGTGCTTCAAAACTTACGTGCGTGTGGAGTCGCGAAAAATTTGGCTGTTTCACAGAAAGTAAGGTTCTGGAGAGGTTCTCCACCATGCCGAGCACGTTTTGTAGCGTTCGTGCGTTGCCGTGCCCCGTGTCATACTGTATCCAGATTTAGGCTCCAAGTTAATTCACTGTGATAAAGTGAGAAACAAACGTGACGCACGCTCAGAGAATGCAGCTTGTTCAACACAGGTTTTCGAAGTGCCTCGGGAGCTCCAGATATGAGGTCCACGCTTAGCCAAAGAACATTGTACAAACGCAAACCCCTTAAATTAGGAAATAGACACAACAGCGGATAGGCTCGATATACGGGTGCATAAGCCAGTACAACCGGGCGGCGGAAAGGGCTTGCGACATTGTCGATGATCTTGTCCCATATCTCTGTGGGTAATGTTGGTCCAGAGGCTTGCCTAGAAACATCGCTGGCGCTAGGCGATATAAACGTGAAGTGTCGGTGATTAAGCCAATCTTGCTGAAATAAAGCATAACGCCGCAGGCGCATCGAGAATGGTTGATCGGAATCTGCACGATTTGTGGCGTTTCCTATGATCTAACTGAGAGAATGGTCAGAACGGAACAGCGAATGACGGGGAGAGAAAGACGCAAATCAGGCCGAGACCAAAGACTAAAGAAGTGCGTAACAGAGACTCAAAACGAGAACAGTCGGGATATATTTTGAGGAATACGTGGCAGAACCGGCACCGGATATTATTGCGAATAGAGAGTGAGGTACTCAGCTACCGTAATATAAATAGACGGATGAAAGGATTCACGTCACGGTGTCAGGAAAGAAAGGGAGCATAGCAGCTGACCTGCAGCGCTTTGGTTATTGCTTATAATTTACTTAGAGGGCTTTGTGGCTGGTCGCCAACGACGAGATATACAAGGGGCATTTACAGTCAATACGATGATACGACAGTAGCAACTCGGAACAGGACATCACTGCATGATGGAGTGAGTCCAACTGTGGTGAATCAAGTCAATAAGGACATGCTACAAAATACTCAGAGAATAATATGCTTGCTCAATGATCCTTGGCTTCCCAAGCTTTGGCTGTGCCTGGAATCAATCGGGGTCGGCCCGTTGAGAATCTGGCTTCCGATATAGCGTGATGATGCACAACAACCGATGCTGAAGAGTTTCATAATAAGCGCTTTAGATTTCAATTCTCGCTGAGCGGTATAAGCATGACTCCTGGAAGCAGGTCAGACGATTCAGCGAATTAATAGAGATACCATTCGAGTACAGCGCTTAATTGCACCGCCGGACTTTCAGCCATAGCAAACAAATATTTGGCTTAACATGTGATTATTCTGTGGCTGATCGTTTAAGTATTTGTGAGGTGGTGACGTTGACTCTCTCGGAGTCTCGAGTAACGGCCTCCGTAAATCGCTCTTGTACAGAGCAATTTTTGACTCTAGCCGTACATATTGTCTGGACAGTTTGATCTCAAGCGAATGATACGACGAGACTGGCCACAACAAACCCCATTCTACAATGGACACTGACTGTGACGGTATCACCCTCGACGTCCTGCTTTCCTCAAATCCTTGTGAAAATTGGCTTCCTGCGCTCCGAATTCCTGCCTACGAGTTCACTCATTTCTCATCTTCCCCCCTTCGTTGGCTCGCTTATCTCGGGCTCGCGATAGTCGGTCGCATGGGCGTTCTTCACCACGGCCCAGAGCTCACCTCTCGAACTGTTGACCTCGATGACCCGTTCTCCATTAATCCGACTCGATCTGTCAGTTACTATTACCGTCACGAGGGGGATCTCTGTCCCGCTGCCCTTGATGCGGAGCTCAGCTCGACCTCCTTCTCTGAAAG